AATGACAGTAACATCAATATCTTCATTCGTAGTTTTACGCTGTCCAGTGTCTTCAGAGTCTGCAAGATAAACTACTATTCAGTAGATGTTACTTCAGAGTCTTCAAGGAAAACAAGTTCAATGGCAAACAGCAGATAAGCATAATATGTGATGTGTCAACAAAATTTTTACCCCATTGCAGAATTCTTATTGCACACATTTCTCTATAATATATATTTATGTACATACTCGTAAAGCAGTATGGCCAGCCAATTTTTCTTGTCAATTTCACTTAGTTTCTGTTAAAGATTTGATGAACTCTAAAAGCTACTTTCTCTAACCGCGAAGACATAAGGGTTTTAAACATTAGGAAATACGCTGAGTGCACATCACAAAGCACTCACTAGACTTCACAAACCCTTAAAACCGATGTAAACCGAATTTTGTTGATCATCTTACCTTTAGTTGCCTCCCGGTGCTTCACTAGAGATGGTTTAAATGTCTCTTTCTGGATTTGTATTTTCTCTGACCTCTCAAACTCTTCTTGAATGGACTTAAATACATCTTCAAAACCTGGCTCAGGAAATACAGACACAAACTTCACAGCTACACGGAGTCTCAAAGTATCAAGCAAGGCTTCTGAGAACCATCCTGTTTTATGCTGCAAACAAAAAACGAATAATACCATAATTCATGGGTATTGACTTCATGAACGAAAAGCTAAGCTAAGAACTCACGGTACAAGTAGTCTGCTTGGGAGGCTTTCTTATCTCTCTCTGGATGTACTCGTCGTCAAGTTCAAACAACTGCAGAAATGTTTGGCATTTAAAAGGAAATAACTTAAAAGCACAAATGTCACTCCAGCTTGGCTTTGAGCTGCAGCCAAAAAAAAAAACATATAATTGGCTTTTTTCCTGCATAAATCCAATGGTTCAGTTGCAAATTTCTCAATCATGCTAAATCTATGATACATTCCTACAACAGTTATCTTAGAATGCTACAGAGACTATTCAGGCTTGGATCTCCGGTAAATGGATGTGTCATTCATGTAGGAAGAGTTCACCAAAAAGGCTTACTTGTTAGTTGCATTGGAATCACAATAACTCCGTAATTCAGGTGGAACCCTGAATTCCATTCTCTGATATCTGAAACACAATATACAATGGAGATTATAGGTAAAAATCAATCATTACGCACCAATCTGTGTGTATCGCCATTTCACCTAACAAATGTCATGAACCATACAATAGGAATGTATAAATCAATTTCTTAAGATAGAACTCACACACGAGACTCAGGATCATTTCGTGGATCATAGCCTCTTTTAATCCAGAACCTAAGAAACGGACCACCGGAGAAATAATACGCAGTCCGGAGCAGAAACCTACAGAGAACACACCAAATTGATCAATGTAGTACTTAAAACACCTCAGTCTAAGAGACCCGTATTAAACCACTGTCTCACCTGTTTAACATATGATGAGTACATTTAAAACCTTTATCAAGTAATCGTTGAACAACAGAATCTCTTGTCCAAATAGGCCGCTCTTCAAACAATGCAGACACTGCTACCTGCCATTGCCAGTGGTTGGAGCTGGGAGCAAGAAAGTCTTCCCAGTTTAGTTTCTTTGGGATCTGTATGAAAGCTAAGGATAGAGCAAACAAACACGGCTCTTTCTACTTGCGCCATCCAAATGAGAAAATGTCAGAATTGGAAGAACTAGTATAAAATAAAAAAGGATATCTTTGACACTGAAATCAATTGCAAATACTTGGCCAATATCAATCTGCATCATAAAAGAAAATAGCATAATGTATATGAATAAGCGAATAGCAATTGAGAATGAACTATATGTAACGCGTCATGGCATCTTCAATATCAAAAAGAGAGCTGAACGAATCACGTATTTTTCATGGATCATAGAGAGTGAAACCGAGAGGTTTTTACATACTTCAAATTTTTTACCACTGCATTTGCAGGAATCAGATGCAACTTTTGCGATTTAATGACTATCATGCCAAAACTCTAGTATTATCCAAATGCAGGTTTGGTTAAGAAATGCCAACCCATCAAGAAAGTCTCAAACTTCACCATTACAGTAAATTAAGACTCTTAACCAGACAATTAGTTACAAGTAGACAATAATGTCTTGTCCTATCGATGAAGATTAGACAGTTGAAGTCATTTTTGTTTCCAGCAGTCTAATTTCTTTTTTTTTTTATTTTGGGTGCATTTAACAGTCTGTGTTTAGTTTATTTAGGAAACTCGGATGTTTCCATTTCCTTATTTTACCTCATAAAAGTTCTGAGCCGCTGCATCATCTTTCTTTTTGGGACCAGATGTTGCCGGAGGTTTCAACCTATAATCACATAAGAAAATTGAAATCAGTACGATAACTGAAGTCACTTCAATCAACTAAGTTGTTCTTCATCTTTCTACTATAAGTCTATAACTATATATTCAAAACTAAGTGAATGGCTTAAATAAGAGAGGAAAAAAATTGAAAGAAATAAAAAAAGGAAGTGCAATCTTACGCCAAGTTGTCTGGTATATCTTTGGGTGCAAAGAACTGTGGCAATAACATCATTACATCGTCACCAGCCAGGTCCATCAAATCACTGTTTCCTGCACATATCATATATCCTTTAAGGTGATCACACCGTAAATTTGCAGTATAATGAGAAATAGAAAATAGCAGCAAGCGAATCACCTGCAAGGGAATCCACCTCCATCCACTTTCTCTTCTTCTGCTGCGCAATATCCGCGTGAATAGGAATAACATGCTGATAGTCAGCCATGCCTGCACAATGAATAATAGAGAAATTTTTAAAACACTAAAATTCTCAAATGAGAAGACAAATTCCGGATGCATAATAACCCAGCATAAGAGGACAGCTAAGTTGTTACCATCAAAGTGGAACGATTCAGACACATGAGCTACAATATCTGCACAAATAGCTGGACTAGCTTCCTCCAAACATACATCCCTAGTGGCAAGAACAGATTGACTTTCAGTTTTCTTAGTATCCTCCTTAGAAATTTTCAACAAAAAACCATTGCAAGGACGTTGTTCTCCCATAGCAGGATGTGCATAAGGATCTTCAGGCCGGAAACGCAATTCAAGCTTGTTCGAAATTGATGCCCTTGCCTACCCATAAAAGGATTTAAAAAAACTGAATAAATCCCGCAGCATGGAAAGCATAAGCTTGTTATTAACCAACATGAACGAATCAAACCAAGAAATTTATCGTTTTTATTTCTAAATCTGAAAACTTAAGAGCTATATGGATACATATACCAAGACTACAAGAGCATATAAACTACCATAATGACAGACAATTTCAGTGTAAATAAAAAAAAGAGAGACTTTTAAGGCAAGATTAAGAGATTTACTTGTGTAATTCCTTCGATTCCTCCAAGGGTTTCAATGGCTCGGGAAATAGAAGATGGGTAACCAGGGAAATGTACTACAAACGCCTCCTTGCTTGGCAAGGTACCTGAGATTGTTCCGTCTTCTATGATTCCCATTCTTTTCTTTCCCCAGTTACTGTAGATTACAAGAAACAAACTCATAGATCCCAAAATGCAACGCGATGGAGAGATTAAAAGT